CATCTTAACTTTACGCCTATTGTTAATACGTAATGATTGATACATTAACTTTGAGCCAATACGATATATCTCTCATAAATATATCTGAGCACATGCATATACGATAAATACTAAGTGCCTGTTTGGATCCTCTTTTTTTAAGCTATAAGCTACTTATAAGTATAAGCTAGGCTAAACAGGTTTTGGAAAAAGCTCTTATAACGAAAAGCTCTTTTTTTATAATGAAGAAAAAAGCTCTAAACTAAAAGCTCCTTGGAGGAGCTTTTTTTTTAAGCTCTTATCTATTTTTCTTGAATTGTGTGTTTTTTTTTAAAATAAAGAGTGATAAAGATAAAGAGAGAGATATTTTTTTTGAAATACGTACTTTTAAGTAATTTTTAAGCTAAAACTTTTATGTAATTTTCAAACAGCTTTTAGCTTCTTTTTTTAAGTTTTTTTTTTTAGCTTTAGCTTATAAGTAGCTTCTAGCTTAAAAATAAGAGGATCCAAACAGACTCTAACAATCTACGCGTACGGAAAAAGTGATGAAAACCAAAATATAGGTTTTAAAAATGGCAAAGTCCATCTGGTTCATTTGTTTAGCATAGAAACTCCTCTTTTGGGCCAAGTAATATTTTCTTTGGTAAATAAAAATTGGCCCAGACCTGGCTAGGATTGACTAAAACATTTGGTTTGCCTGCATTGGGCTGTTAAAGATATATAGCAACACAATAATATTAACTCAATACAAATTTGTGAACCGTGTATACACCGGCAATTATATATAAAATATTTTTTGATAATTAATAATAAAAAATTGATTAAATAAACTGTTATCACAAAGAAAATCCGATCACATGTTTAAAGAAAATTAGAAACAACTATAAGGAGGGATGGTGGAGGTTTAATCCGGCGCCACGCAAACCTTATCCCTTTGAAACAATTCTTGTAGGGGTATAGAATGCTACATCCAACAAAAGAGGAATTGTTTTAAAAATATAATAAAAATAAAAGATAGTATGAAAGAAGACAGTGGGTATGAACAAGCCTCTATTTGCTCTCCAAACTTTTTAGATGTGGCCATTTCCTTCATTTTCTATACAAATAACTTGATTGTCTGATGGACAAAAAGAAACCCTGAATGATGCTTTCAAATTTATAAATGAAGGTAAAAAACACTTCAATTCTTTTCAAGTTCAAATAAAATAATTGTTGATTCTTTCCCATTAAGCAAGACAATTAAGTAGCTCTCACAACCTTTTTTTTTAGTTTTTTTTAACCCTTTTAATTATCTAGGATGATGTATGCGAATCACTGACATCATTAGACTTCACTTTTAACTTATCCTGCTTAATTTTTTAATTAACATCTACTACGTTCATGACCATAGCTAGGTGAACAACGATTTAGCATAAAGAACTTTAAAAACACCAGCCTTGAGATTTTAACCTTAACCGCTCTACAATTTTAAAAATGAAGTTCATTCATCTCATCTCAAACATTATTTTAATGTAATTAAACTTTAAATATTCCAGTTTCTCTCCTGTATTATTAACAACAGTTTGTTTTATCAAATCTTCAATATGACAAACAGCGTGTTGATAGGCTCTTTCACCCATTAGGGGTTTTAATTTCTTTAATTTATCAATTTGATATTGCGTTAAAGGTATTTATGAACGGGGGTCATTTAGTGACGCGAGGGGGACCCAGCGTCACTGAGTGCCGCTATCATCTCCTCCCGTCACTCTCACTTTTTTTATTTTTTTTTTACTTTTTTCTATTGAGTGCCGCCCCCCTCCCCTGGGGCACTCACAGAATTGTGCCAAGTGGCACAATCTGGTTACTCCTATTACCGTCAAACTTCGGAAGGCCATAACTTTTGACTCGGGTATCCAAATCAGATGATTTTTTTTTTTGATTTCACATAACTTTTCGAGATCTACGTAATGACATCTCATTTGACATATTTTATTTTCCATTAATATAGTTCAAATGTGCAACACTAATTACACTTTTTTTACAGATTTGAATTATGTTTGTGAGAGATAAAATATGTCAAATGAGATGTCATTGCGTAGATCTCGGAAAGTTATGTGAAATAAAAAAAAATCATCTGATTTGGATACCCGAGTCAAAAGTTATGGTTTTCTGAAGTTTTACAGTAATAGGAGTAACCAGATTGTGCCACTTGGCACAATTCTGTGAGTGCCACAGGGGAGGGGGGCGGCACTCAATAGAAAAAAGTAAAAAAAAATAAAAAAAAAGTGAGAGTGACGCGAGGGGATGGTAGCGGCACTCAGTGACGCTGGGTCCCCCTCGCGTCACTAAATGACCCTAATTCGTAAATACCTTCAACCAAATACCAAATTCATAAATTAACATCACAAAAAAACCCCATCGGTCAAAGAGCCCGTGTTGATAATCAAGCAACGACTTAGTAAAGAAGAGGGGGGATATTTTGACTACCAAAAGTGTCCACTACCACCTTACTACCTATCAAATCACCATTGGATCAAAGAGAGAGAATATTAAAAAGTTTTTGAAGAGAGAGAAAATGTTAATCCAATGGTGATTAGATAGGTAGTAAGGTGGTAGTGGAAATTTTTGGTAGTCAAAATATCCTCCCTCTTTCTTTTATTCTATTTTGCCTGATTTTCAATCTTTTCTTGTTTGTATATATACCAATGTACTTGGCTGATGCAATTAATGAGAAATGAATCCTTTCAGTATATATACTTGCCGAATTTGTAATTTTTATATTCTGTATAGAAACTAATGCTCAACGAATTTTTTTTTTCAATCTTTCCATTTCTTTATTGAGGGGAGATATTTTGACTACCAAAAGTGTCCACTACCACCTTACTACCTATCAAATCACCATTGGATTAATATTTTCTCTCTCTTCAAAAACTTTTTAACATTCTCTCTCTTTTATCCAATGGTGACCTGGCACTAGGTGTGCTGGAGACTGTGATGCACGGACACGGGACACGACACGACACACTGACACGTTAATTCTAAAAAATGTCATATTTGGACACATTGGGACACGTTTTGATATTAAATAATATTTTTAATATATATAATATAATTTATATTTAATACATATAGCAACTCATAATAACTCATATACTAATCAAATATTCAAATTTCATAACGTAAATATTAAAAAAAATAATAGAACATCCCAAGAGTGTAGAGTGTAGAAAAATTTCATAATGTAATTTTTTTCAAGGAAGATAAAATAAAAAATTAAAGTATAAGAGTCCTAGAGTAGTACATAAAATGAGAAAAATAAATACAATCAAAACGCAGTCATCCACCTCATCCACGTCATCGATCCAAACACAGTCTCATCTCAGATATAGACCGTACAAAGAAACCAATCAACCGTCCTAAACGCCTCTTAGAAACCTATTACACGGATCGACGAAGTGACCTTAACTCCCTTCAATACCTATAAATCTTATCCGTACAAAATAAACACAAAACTTGTGTCTTTAACATATACCCAAAAGCCAGAGGGAGGTATCCATGGCTGTACATAAGAAGCATGTGCATGGGTCTCCATTTTTCTTCAAGCTCTACACGGCGACCAACGACCGGAGAAGTAGACGACGACCGACGACGAAGAAAAGAAGACCCGGACCAGCAACTTGTGCGAGAGAGGATCAGACGACGATGGGGTTCAGACATTTTGTTTTTTATTAAATATTTTTTTATTTTTATAATTGTATTTTTATTTTTATTTTTTTTTAAAAATGCCAAAACGTGTCCATATACGTTGACCGCGTGTCGGATTCGGTCAAACTCGCGTGTCCCTCAAGTCAACGTGTCCCTAAAAGTCAACCGCGTGTCGGACGCGTGTCCTAACGTGTCCATGTCCGACACGTGTCCGTGTTTCCTAGGCTGGAGATGAATGTGGGACCTTCAAGTCAGTGATCAAAGAGAAAAGCCAAAACAGTTCACAGGTGACATTTGCCATGGAACGATATTCAGCCTCAACAGAGGATCGCGCAACAGTGGGTTATTTCTTGGATTTTCAGGAAATCAGAGAGTTGCCAAGGAACACACAAAAACCAAAAACAGACCTACGGCTGTCTGAGCATGAAGCTCAATCTGAATCACAAAATCATGCAGTTGAAGAGAGGATTATAAGAAGAAAAAAACCCTGACCGATGGTAGACTTTAGATACCCAAGAATGCATTGAGCTGCTTGAAGATAAGGTTGTCTAGGGGCTGACATGAATTGACTTAGATGATTTACAACAAAGTAAATGTCTGGTCTTATGATAGTCGGATAAATCAAACGCCCAATTAATCTGCGGTGTGCAATGAGATCTTCTAAAGGAGTACCATCAGTGGCAGATAAATGGAGGTTCAGCTCCATACGAGTGGAACGTGACTTGCAGCCAGTGAGACCAAAATCCTGAAGAAGGGAAAGAGTATACTTTCTTTGACATAAAATAATCGTTGTAGATGATTTGCCAACCTCAAGACCCAAAAATTATTTTAGAGAGCCCAAATTTTTTAACTTAAAGGTGTTGTCCAACTTGGCTGTGAGTTACTGCACATGATCAAAATTGTTAGAAGCAACAATTATTTCATCAACATAGACCAATATAGCCATAAATGAATCAGATGTAATATTCCGTTAAACCAATTATTCGTTATTGGAGCAGATAGCAACAACCATCTCATCCGGGAAAAGCCATCTTTTTATCAACAATGTCTTTGTCATTTGATCCAATAGCGTTCCGTTAGATAGGAACAGATTTGATAAATATTGATAACTCTCGGATAGAGTATTAGAAAGGAAAAATCCATTAGATAATGAACTATTGGTTCTTACAAATACTATTTATATAGTAATCTATTAATACTAATAGATTAGAAATAGAGAGAAACCAAGAGAAATCAGAATAGAGGAAAATTTGGAGAACCATTGTCGTGAACCATGCTTAAAACCATAAATGTATTTCATTAAGCAGCAAACAGCATTGGGGGGGCAGAGGCTCCCCTTATGGAGAGTATCCGGGAGGGAGACGTATGTAAACCTTTTCAGTCAAGTCCCCATGAAGAAATGTGTTATTGATATCTAATTGAACTAGATGCCAATCATGGATGGCAGCAAGAGAAAGCAAGATATAAACAATAATTATCTTGGCTACTGGAGAGAAAGTCTTTTTGAAATCATTGCCCTCCTGCTGTGTATAACCTTGAGCAACTAAGCGAGCTTTGTACCTTTCAAGGAAGCCATCAGAATGAAGCTTAACACGGAACACCCATTTACAACCAATAGAGTGTTTGCTGGTAGGTAAAGAAACAATGTTCCAGTTGTTGTTCTGTTCCAGAGCACCGAGCTCAGCAGCCATGGCAGTACACCATTCAGGAAATTGTGAAGCTTCAGCAAAAGAAGGAGGTTCATAATGTGTAGAAATGACATTAATAAAGGCTTTGTGAGATGTGGAAAGGTAACATAAGAAATATAGGAGGAAATGGGGTGCTGAGTATAGGAAAGGCAAATATAGTCTTTCAGGTGAGGAGGTGGTTTTCTAACACAGTTGGAGGAGGGTTGAGGAGCAGCAGTGGTGAGTGAGGAAGAAGGAATTGAAGTGAGAGGAGAGGTAGAAGGATCCAAATTGGCAAAGGGAAAAACTGTTTCATGGAAGATGACAGCACGGGAGATAAAAATATGATTAGATTCTAAGTCTGAAGCTTGTAGGCTTTGTAGCCAGGGGCTAGCCAAAGAAGACACAAGAAACGACATGAGGAGAAATTTTGGGATGATGCTTAAGAAGGGTGGAGGTAAAGAAGAGTCACCACTGAAGCTCACGACGGACTACGACGAAGAAGCATCGGTTGGGGTGAAGGCTAACGGCATGGAGGAAGAGGTAGGTGGATTGTGCGGGAGAAGGTTTAGGAGTTGAGTATACTGATTAGGTGTGAAGGGTGATGGGTTGGGCTCATTGGGTAGGTGAGTAACAGAGGAAAGGGCCGCATGAGATTGGGCTTGGGTGAAGTTGAAATTGGACTTGGATGATTTGGGTTTATACCCAAGAGGAAAGTCATAGAGTTTGAAGCAGCGTTCCTTGGTGTGGCTCTATGTTTGGTAGTGGGTGCAAAAGGGGCGTGAACAGCGAGGAGCGGTGGCCATGGAAGCGAAGGACAGTGACGCTGAAGCAGAAACAGTCAGAACAACAATGGAACCCAACAATGGCATGTCAGGTGCAACAGGAAACGAAGTAGATATTTGACACTGGTGTTCCTCTTGGAGAATGAGGGAAAACACGCTTGACAAAGCTGGAAAAAAGGTCATCAATAGTATCAAGGCACAGATAGAGGCAAAAGAATCATTGAGACCCTTGAGAAATTGCATGGTCTGATCTTGCTGCACCGAACCAAGGACAGTTTGTAAGCACCACAAGTGCAGGCAGCTGGTGGGGAATAGTCATTCAACTCATCCCAGAGGATCTTGAATTTGGTATAGTAAGAGTTGACATCCATGGAACCCTATTGCAATGAAGAAATCTGAAGCTTTAACTGAAAAATTCGAGGACCATTAGCTTGTAAAAAATGATTGCGTAAGTTATTCCAAATGTCATAAGCATTAGAGAAATACATGAGGCTATCGGCGATGTCCTTAGAGACAGAGTTGAGTATCCATGAAGTGACCATGGAATTGCAACAAATCCAAGAAGGAAAAATGATAGCAGTGGAATTGGGACGAAGAATAGAGGAATCAACGAAACAAAGCTTATTTTTAGCAGTAAGGGCAATGGTCATGGCTCAATTCCAGGAGTTGAAATTGGCTTCGGTAAGGGTATGAGCAACAAGGACAAGGCTAGGATGATCTCCGGTGTGGAGGAAGTATGGACTTGAAGAATCATCCATGGGAGAGTGAGTAACAGAGGATGAAGAGGAATTATTATTTGAGCCTCGAGCCATAGAGGAAAAGGTTAAAAATCATTTGATACCATATTACTAATTAGGCAAGTATCTGTACTGAAAGGATTCATTTCTCATTAATTGCATCAGCCAAGTAGAGTGGTATATATACAAAGATAAAAAGATTGAGAATCAGGCAAAACAAAATAAAGAAAAGCCGGCAAAATAGAATGTCGTTATAACAAATTAGGTGACCTAGCACTAGGTGTGATAAGCTATTAAAAATAGAAAATTACATAAAGAATAAAATAAAATAAATAGTATGTGAATGTGTATGTATATATTTTAACAATAAATTTGTTCGTGTTCCTGAAATAGTTTCAAGCCTTCTTAATAAAAAAGAATGTCACTGCTGTAGTGCCACTAGAAAGGCAACTGGTAATACGAGATGGTGTCCCCTTGCTCCCAACGGATTGGATCAATACTGACAATTAATCATCGATGGCATGGACACACATATCTACTTAGAATATTGTAGCTTATGTTAGGTATGACTCATATTTTGTATTTAAATGATGACTCTTGTTGGCAGAACGCTGAGAAAGCTAACAGGGCTTGGTAGGTAGTGTTACGAGCTTGAGTTTCATTTTATTCTTTTATCTTATTTAGTAGTTTGGATTTGTGTCCATAAATAACTAATATTGCTTAGAGTTTTTAAATCTATTTATATTCCCTTATTAAACAAAATGCTTTATAACAAGTGCGATGAGCAGAATATAATAAAATATTATAGGATGCAAACTACATTAATTAAGTGAATGGGGGTAAATCAAAGACTCTTTTTCTTTGTTCCCCTATGTCTTTTATGTTCTCTCTCTGTGTGTGATTTTTCGGTCCTCACAGCTTAACCAAATTATGGCGATTCCTTTCCTTTCTCTTGAAATCTCTTCTACCTTGGAGATATCTCAAATCGGCAATTCAGGTAATCAAATAGGCCAAAGGCCTAAAGAGAAAAAAAAGGACTATGCACTAACTAATTTGGGTAGTACGTACAAACTCTCATTAATTACGTCCTGATCGTGTGTGTGTGTGTGTGTGTTATCTACAGTTAATTTATCGTCTTTATAACTAAGTTATCAACAGTTTAATTCTCCTAGGTGGATTGATCAATGTATTATCGAGATTTCAAGTCCAAAATTTGTCTTCATGAAGAACGAATTTGATATATAATATTTTAAAAAAAATAATTCATGTGCATATAATCTTATCAAAGAAATCTGAAGTAGTAATAAAGTTACCCCTTTATTTTAAAGGGTTTGCAACTAGCTTGAGAAGATGGATGGAGAAATGTTATTGTAGAAAGTGACTCTAAATCAGCTATTGCTCTGCTCACTAGTGATGGTGATACAGTCCTCAAGAATCATCTGATTTCTCGATTACGGACATGAATTCAAAAGGATTGGAGAGTTCATCTGGTTCATACTTTCAGAGAAGGAAACTGTTGTGCGGATTGGCTGGCAAATTTTCCTTTTATGAATGTTAATTCTGATATTTTTGTGTTTTTAATTTCCCTCCCCTTGGAATTGGTCTGCTGTTTGATGCAGATTTATCTTCTATTTATAGAACTCGTCGTATTTCAGTTATTTAATTTGTGCTGTGGTGTGTTTTACCCAGCTTACCAAACAAAGAAAAAAAAGTTATCCCTTTGTGATTAAGAGGTCATTACAAGATTTTTTTTTTTTTTTTTGGATAATAGAGGTCATTACAAGAATTACATCACCCGTACTCTTATTAGTAGGGACTTCATGGAGAGTTGTTCTTTATTCATATGCATAACCTTTTAGAAATTAGAATAGGTGAATTATATATAAAATGATTGGTGGTTGTTTGTTATTTTCTCTTGACTTCATTGGAGCCAAACTGCATGGCAAAAAATTGATACAATTGGGGTTTAAATATTCTTTAGAATATACATTGTTTATAGTTCAATGAACATCCCCTTATTGGACAAATCAAAGGCAATGGAAGCAAAGAGATTAGATATATATATTCATTATCCAAGTCAAACACAGTATATGTAGTTGGCACAGTTTAACAAAAAGATTTTTTTTTCATTTATTTAAATACAAGAGATCATCCTTGGAGTTTCTGAGCAAAATGTTTTGTCAACTCCTTTGCAATAAGATATATACTCTCGTATATACCTAGTAAGATATAGAGATTCTTTGTCTCTTGCAAAGAGCCAAGATTCCCTTATTATTTTTAATGCAAACTATGATTTATACTGCAAGTGCGACTGCAAGCAAATCCCTTAGCAGTAATAAGGAATATATGTTCCACTGCCTGTTATTTGCTACGAGGAGGCAAAATTTGACCCACACACCGTCACCATTCATGAACAATAACCACATGTTTGGTGTTTCTGTTGTCGATTTCTATGGTAATTGTGAATTCTTAAATCTTTTAGGTAATATTTTTTAAGGGGAATGATATTGTGACAACCAAGTTATGTTACTACCAAGTGACTACCAATCAATCTCACCGATAGATCAATTATGTTGATCCAACGGTTATATTTATTTCCATCTTTGTATGGTCATGATTCTCCATATTTAAAGTGAAAACATTAAATATGGGAAATCATAATCATACAAAGGTGAAAATAAATATAAAGTATTAAATTTGAGGAATCATGATCATACAAAGATGGAAATAAATATAACCGTTGGATCAATATAATCGATCTAACGGTAAGATTGATTGGTAGTCATTTGGTAGTAACACAACTTGGTTGTCACAATATCCTTCCCCATTTTTTAATCATACATTGGTTTATAAAACATTGTGTTGGGGATCCCACATTGGTTGAATAGGTAATTAATGTGGGGTTTATAAAGCATTGAGCACTCATGTTAAAGAATAATATAAATCATTAAAAAAACCTTCGTCCAACATCCATTATATGGGCAATTAGTGTGTTGTTGCATTATATGGATATGTTTGGTGTAATGTATAAGACCTAGTAGTATAAATTTATACTATATATTATGATATTTTCAGTTGTTTGGTGTGACCATCTACCTTTTATAGTATAAGGGATTGATGTATAAGGGTAATTATTCACATCCCCTCCCTTCTTCTTTTTTTGTTCAAGCATTACCTTCACCGGAGACACCACAAACCCAACTCCCTTTCGCTGAACCGTTCCATCTCCGTCGCCGGCACCGGTGAGGTGGTCAAACGTCAGAGCCACCAACAGAAGTGAACCTGCATGAGCTCGCCCTCAACGCACCCTAGCTGCTCTTTCCATTGCAGCCTCCACAAGAGCTTCCGAGTGAAGTTTGTGGATATGGACTTTTGACATGCTTCGCTTCTTCGTTTCGTTCTTGTCTGTGTATATAATATAGAATAGAATGCAAATGGAAAATTAATCATTGGCGGCCATTGATGGAGATGATGGAAGCTTTTGCACCTAATTTCATGAAAA